AAAAATTTTAGAACGTTTGCTTATGCTTAGAATTTAGAATTAAAATATTGGCTGCGGTGAGTGACGGCAACATTGGGGAAAGTCACGTTTATAAACTTATAAACTGCTATTTATGCCAAAAACATTTAAAATTTTAAATGTTCAAGAACGAGATTGTTTATAATTTAATGTACTTTTACACGATGAGCAATTAAATTTTGAGTCCTCAATAAAAATCATTCAATATATTAAATCAATATGGGCAGTTTTGTCATTTGTCATACAAAGTTTTATTTAATTAAATTTATATAATCTTCCTGATTTAACTTGAAATCTTAATTTATGCAGTAATTACTGTAATGTTTAAGTGTCAAAGATTTAAAAATGCCGAAAAAAGATTAAATAAGTTTTCATTGACAATGAGAAAAAGTCATTCAAGATGTATCTCATTTCGGAGAATACACTTTTGCATCTCGATTGTGAATCTCGCGAGGCATTCCGTGTGTCAGATAAAACACGGTTGAAATTTCCGAGGTTTCCTCAATGTTGTCCAACATCCGTCTGACGGATCGGCGAACGCAGAATTGCACGATGTTGATAAAATCTTGCGATCTTGCAGTGGGGTACGACCTGGGTGGCGTGTCCACGTGCAGCAAGAGGGATCCGGAGCACGGGAAGAGGCCGGCCGGCGGCAAGGAGCCGCACTGCCTGTACCCGGGCGACTTGTATCCCTTTACCAGGAAGCCGCTCTTCGTCGTCGTCGACTCGGATAACAGCTTCGTGTTCCAGCAGATACCGCGTTACTTCGGCCAACCCCTGATGGTGCTAATGTCGCCGCAGGACGTGCCGCCGACCCTGCGCGACCTGCGACACGGTGGCAGCCTGTTCACCTTATTTCTTCACGCCCCCCTCGCCGCCTTCTGCCTTATATGCAACATCGGGAGCCTGCCCGTGCAACATTGGGAGCGCTGCCAGCGTTACATCGAGCGATTCCTTAACGAGGCCAGTCAGCTCGTAACGCGCTCCCGATGCGGTAAGGACACTCGACACAACCGTTTGTCCGAGGCGTCGATCAGACGAAAACCAAGGAAGGGGCCAAGGAAGGGGCTCGATAGTGGAGGAGGATAAATTCTGGAAGATCTCAAACCGTCTTTCAATCAGTCTCGCGCTGATCGGCTAAAAATTAGCAGTTATTAATGAAAAGATCATAATTGAGATCGCAGATTTATATTCAGTCTCGAGACAGATGTAATTAACATTTTGCAGTGTCACAGGCACTAATCATCGAATTCAAATGTTTTCGACTGTTAGTTTAAGAAACGGTTTTTAAAATATCCGTTTAAAATATCTTGAATGTCCACCGTAATAGTTTGAGATAGAACGTTTCTGAATAGGATCCAATCCGCTCCTGAAAAACGCGTACAGTTATCGAGAAAGATTTATCCAACTTGACCAGGATATCGCGTGGTATTTGATAGTTATAGCGCGGCACTAAGAGAAGGGCGAGCAAAATTAAGATTTTATCGCCAAAACGAGGGCGTACTCGTTGTGCAGCAGCAGCCGCCTGACTCATTGAATGCGACTTACGATCGCGTTACAACAATAAACGCATTTGGCCTAGATCCAAACGAATTTATCAGCGAACTCTCGTTCTCGATTTTTGCGTGTCTCTTTAACTCCCGAGCTAAGAGATACCTGTTATCTTTATCGAGATGAACCGATGTTATATCACGAGCTTTTTATCTTAAAACATTTATGTGCTTTATGAAAAATACAATTAGAATATCTTTCCGTTTCATAAATTTCCTTGAGCAAACTCAATTGAAAAGTCGAAAAAATTAAAGGGTCTCGGTAAATTTAACTTAAAAACATCGCGTAACTTTATATATAGGGAAAAGACAACTGTGCTTTTTCTTTATTCGTTTCCGTCACTTCTAGAGAAGCCTGTTTGAAAACTCAACTCCGAGACGTCTGAGAAAATTAAAAAGTTGCGGAGTAGTCTTTCATCGAAGTCGCACCGACGAAGAACTAACTCCAAAGAAAAATAAATGCGCTTTTATTTTAATGCCGCGAATTAGAAAAAAGAGAGCTGACATTTGAGGCGCATCTTCCTCCATCAAATCGAGTCGCTTCTCGATATTCTCGATGCCACGTAACTTGATCCGCGATCTCGCAATTCGTAGAGACCAGCGTGCTGCAGTTCTTCGGTGACGACTTCCTGCGGCTGCTGCTGGTGCGCTACGTGTTCTGCGACGTGGTGCTGAACCTGCACCGCTCGTTCCGGGGCCGACAGCAAAGGCCTCGTTGCTATCCGCCTCTGCCGGACGCGGAGGTCCTCGAGCATCCCACCCTCCATCACCTGGTGTTCGACCTGGCCGCCTGCCTGGACGCCCGCGACCACTTTCCGGACAGCAACGAGCTCGCCTGACCCCGGCATCTACCCTGCCCGGTCTCCGACACGACGTCCCTGTTACCATCCCATCACAACCATCACGATTACGATTACGACTACTGTAATTACAATTGCAACAATAAAATCGTTACACTGAGACCTCATTAAACCGCGTCTTCGCAGTAATCGCGCAATTCGCGAGATCGCGCGGCCGTGTGTCTGACAGTGAGATACAGGGATCCGGAGTTCCCTCCCCCCCAAAGAACTTGGAACACGGGACACCCGGGGGTAGCGCGCGACACAACACCGTGACACGACGCAACCGCGGCACCGAGGCAGGATAAATCGCGTAATCGCCGGACGACGGGACGATCGCCTACACCGTCCGTTTATAATGACAACGCTACGACATGGAGAATCCCAGGGAAATACGATTGGCGATCGAGCGAGTGTTGCTGCTACGCACCGACGCTTCGGACTGATAATGTAAAGATTAAAAAAAAACTACCGCTTCTGGTTCTTCAAGAGTTACACACTTGAAAATGCGCTCGAATGCTTGAACTGTAACATATAGGTACATATATGGAGTGGCAATATAATTTTCGTACGAATAACACATTCCCGATATTTGCATTCTCTCTATCTCGTACTCGAAACACCGTGAAAGCCCACTGTCCCCCGTGCCGTTCCGTGCGATTCAAGGCAGAGACGCATCATCGTCTCCGATACCACGTCGCCGTCGTCGTCGTCGTCGTCGTTGTGGTCGCTAGCGATCGGCCGAGAGCGTCACCCACGCGCGCGCGGAAACGTCTCTTCTCCTCCGCTCGTTTATTTATAAGCAAAAAGTAGAGCGCGGTCTACGAGCTTGACGAGGAGTTTGACGTTAACCGTACGGATGACGACTCGCACGGGATGAGCGAGCGGCCATGCGAGTCGGAAGATTATCGAAGAAATTGCTAGGCGCTCACTTATACATGCGATCACTCCTTCTCCTGAACGACACACCACACTGTATCGGATCTTTTAGCGGCTGTACATCGAGTGAACGTCGTTATAGGACTCCTAGCGTAACACACACACATACACACACATACAGTGTATTATATATTTACACACACGACACGTACACGCGCAGAAACACGTGCTGTGTATTCTATATATTTTATAAAATATTGCAAAAGTATAGAGCGTTTCAGACCTACCGGACCATCTTTCAGTCGCGAGATCGTTGACGTGTTTTTCTTTTTCTGTGCGAGAACTTAAATCGTGCAGCACCGTCCGTCATTTAGTTCTACAGATTAAATATCTTGAACGAGCTGAATTAAAAATTTGTCGAAAAGTAAATCTTACTTATAGTTAGCAAAGAAACGGTATTTCGTTATTTATTTATACTCGTAAAATTTGGTTTTCTCATTGTTCATGTTATTGGTTTAAGAGTTATTGGCACTCTACATCGAGATCCTTTTGGTTCAACGTTGATAGTCAAAACGACGTGGTACGTCTGGAACACCCTGTATAATACGCCATAGATATCGAGGAAAAAATATATTATATATAACGTTTATATAACGTTTTATACAGGTTGGCCCGTAATGATGAATGGCAGAATCGAGAAGGAAGTGATTCTGGTACGCGCAAAAATAAGTCAGAAATGTAAATTGAACTGTTTTTAACGATGCTCCGTTTTCAAGAAAATGGATTTCAAAAATTGAGGAGTTTATAATGCTCCTTCAGCTTAAATAACCGATTTCGATTTATTTTTGTACGTGAAATCAACCTCTCGACTTTACCATTTATTACCGCGAATACCCAGTACATTATGCAGGGTGTCACAGAATTATCATCGCTTCTACTGCCATTTTTCGATTAATTTGAGCCATTTCTAGTAAAAATGTGGAGCCATCAACAGCATTCACAAGTTGTATACCGATTTTTATACATGCTCGTATTTATTTATTGCGATTGAAAATGAAGATAACCGCACCGTGAGGGTGCGAGCCGAAAATTATAAGAGAAGATCGACTGATCCTTTCGATACGTGAAAGATGTGCCGGTAATCTTGGGACACCAAATACACGTGTATATATTGCGGAACACCATCCGCGCGTACATATACAGAGAGCTACGAATATGTACAATTACGAACGTGCAGCTTTCGAGAAGAATGCAACGCAGCTGCGTCTTTCTCTATACGAATTATTTTTACATTGACCGAGGTGCATTAAACAAACTCGACATTCGTCATCATCAAGCATTGTATCGCGGTGCTGGCATCGAGTGCCAAGATGTGACACAATCGCCGAATCCATGTTGCCGCGCATATATGACGTACACGTCCGCCTTTATATCTTTCTTTATACGCTCGCGCGCTGCGAGATAATGCGCGTCATTGCAGCGAGATTGTTCGAAAGGAAAAAATTTCACTTTCAAATCAAATCACGTAATCTTCGTTTTTCTGCTATCTCATGTCGAAACACATTCCCGCTTCGAAAATCATGCAGCTTTTACTCGGATTCATCGAATCGCACCTGCTTTGCTCCCCAGCTGCTATAGGAGGATCCTCGAGGAATAATTATCAAACGGAAACGGAAGTTTCTTAGAATGGAGGACCGTGTGTGCTCGTGTAAGGATTATATCTCTTCAACTTCTCTTCCTTTATTTTCTGCAACGCAGCATTTTTAATTTTTAATCACGTTTTTAGTCATATCGCTCGCATTAATAGCGGCAAGAAATATTTAGAGAGACGCGACTTTGTACATAATTAAATAACGAAAGACACGCGAAAGCGCTGCCGTCGTTGACCTTCCTTGATAATTAAGACACCGGTAAGTGGCGTTAACGCAACGTAGAATACCGCAGCTGTACCCTAATTCCGTGCTGCGTTAGCAGCACTCGTCAGCGTCATTTATCGCTGAGAGATGACGACGGCAGCAAGCTCGAGTAGTTCCGTAACGTTTCACAAGCCACGTCGATTCGCTTTCTTCCTCGATAACTGAAGATACCAACATATACCTCGTTAACACGTTACAGAAATACCGTCAGAAATCGCTTTTGGTACTTGGCCAATACGCGAGATTCTCATCGGCGCGACTTTTTCTACGTTTACCGAGCTAAAGCCAAATGAAGAAGAGGAGGAACACGGCCGTCCGAACCTGGCCGGCCGCGCGGCAATGCACCCGCAGTGAAATTTGCCGCGACGGTCCGCGTGGACCGCGGATGCACCAGGTGACCCGGTGGCTCGCACGGTTCGAGACAGTGTCGCAGCCCGCCGAATACCGGAGACTGCTATAAATAATCCGATGTCCGCCCCGGTCGCGCTTGCGATGGGCGGCCGAGGGTACTGAAGGGAGTCGCCTAGGAGCCGCTGCAGTGGGCTGCTCTAGCCGGCCGCTCAGCCTCCTTTTCTCTACTCTGTCTCTCCCCTTAATCCGTCTCTCTCTTCCTCTTTCTGTCTCTCCCTCTTCCCTTCGATCTGGAGGGCGAAGAGAGTATTTCGTGAACGACGTCTCGGGAGGAACGACGAAACGTCGTCGTCGTCGTCGTCGACGTCGTCGTCATCGTCGTCGTTCCGTGATCTTGTTCAGGTAGGCAGATAGAGGAAGAGGAGACTGGAGGTGGATTTAGTGCCGGACCTCCGTGTGCGGCCGCGGCGTTTCTCCGGGGGTGGGGATGGAGCCGGAGCAACGAGGACGCGCTTCGCGGGCGTCGTCGACGTCGAGCCTCGGACGCGAGGTCCGTTGCGGGTGTCAGTACTACCAGAGCGACTCGCTTCTGCCGGAACGACGTGCTCTCCTCGTCAGACCGTCATCCAGGACGATGCAGCAGCCACCTGCGGTCCGCTGCAGGTCAGTATCCCCCTATCCACCAACGTTCCGTCTAACAAGTCGAGCCTGACGGGAAACACGTTGGCCCACCCTCGGATCATCGATGTAAAGTGGTCTGGAGGAGAATGCCTTGTCCATTTCTCATCTCGCTATCATATCTCGCTATCGGATAGGTTACACTGTGCGAAACCGCGTCGCGTACCGCCGCAGCTATTTAAGGTTCGCCCGGGTGGCTATAGATAGAAAGCTCGGTCAGCTCCCAAATCCGCCAAGTCCAGTTCCCCGTCCGCGACCCGCGTGTCCCGCAGCATCCGCGTTACCGGTACACGCGCACACGCTGCTATGTCCCCGGGACGAGGCTGGACATCTGACGGGACCGTGTTACACTGAACAGAGCGCACGTTTGCAACGAACGTTGAGAGTAATGTGATTCAGCGAGTTCGAATTCCGGCGTTACAGATGAGAAGCAAAATAATCTTGTTGCTTATCGATAAAGATGCAACAAAATCGGTGTAAGATATATAGTTCCAACAACGCGAAAATATAAAAGATGTCCGAAAGATAGACAGACTCTGAAAAATTTGATATGTTCTCTTAGATATTTTTGCATCGTTTATATTATTTTGGATTTTTCTATATATGTAGCATTAAAAATTGAAACTTATTAAATCTATGTCACTTTTAATTCTTGATTTAATAGTAAACAAGGTAAGAAATTTTTAGATACAGTCGAATTCTTTATACATTTTATTATTTTGAATTTCTTTATATTTGTAGCACTAAAAATTGAAACTTATTAAATCTATGCCACTTTTAATTCTCGATTTAATAGTAAATAAGGTAAGAAATTTTTAGATACAGTCGAATTCTTTATACAGAAAAATGATGTATTTTTAGAGAATTGTCAAGAGATAACGTGTTATAGAAAGTCGATGGGAAACGTGCAGAGTACTATATTCTTTAAAGGAACAGTAAAAACATAATCGATTTTTCTGCTTAATTCTAAAAAAAAAAAAAAAACGAACATAGCGCGAAATGACACAAGGTCATGTATCAGTTGATGAATTTCATTCAAACGACATGTTCTCTTCGATGTAGATACCTTGTGTAATTTCGTCCTGCACTTGTTTACGTTAGTCTCATGAGATCGGAAGGGGGTCATACATGTGGGGTAATACGTCATCTTCGAATGGGGGGAAATATGGAAGATATGTAAAACACGGAGCCCAGACACATTTAGAATAATCGAATGACGAATTTCGCGGTGTGACATCCAGTGTATTACTTTTTGTTATAAGTTATCGAATATCGTGCATTGACTAAAATTATGAATTTCAGAAATAAGAATTTATCTTTTATTGCGCTATTTTCATCGTACATCTCACATCACTTTCAGTCGAATATAACTTACCCAAGTGGCAGAGTGACGTCAAATGACGTATTAATAACGTCTTAAAGACGTCTTTAACGTCAATAAGACGTCCTTGAACGTCATCTTGCTACTTCGGTACATTTTAGATTTTGTTGCAGAACATTTCGATAATGTTAGGTCATTAACCGCGACTCGTTTGATAATTTTTGCCGTACGATTGTATTGCATTTATTAACACTCTACTAGAATGGAGCAAACTTTGCTTATAGACGGCAAAATATAACGAAGATAGCGCATTACATTTCACTGAAGATACATTCAAAATTTGCAGCTTTACGAATAGCAAAACCGTGAGAACGTATTTCTTAGTTGTTTATTCAATACCTTGACTACCAGTGATCATCTATAACTGGTGCCTAACTTTCCAGTCACGTTCTGGTGATCACTGTAAAACATAAGTGCCATTTAATAAAATTCTGAATAACATAAATAGTTAGACAACAATACATATAAAATAGAAAAGGTGCTACTCGACAATAATTTTTTTTATCATATATCACCCTTTTTGTACGCGGTTATGATAATGAAAAATCCGTCTTACCGTGGCATATACATATACGAAACTCGCCGGATAAACAACGCGTTAATGATTCAAAACGCGAACACACAGTTTTTATTTATACGCAATCGGTCTCACGATATAAGCGTGAATTCTCGCTGCAGCGAGCACGATTACGAACCGATCGCGCCGCCGCCGTCGCTGCCGCATCCGGCGATGGCACCGGTCGTGCGAATCACCGACACGGACGTGATGCCCGTCGCCGACAGCGACGACAGCATCGACGACCGGGGCCGGCTGCCGCCGGAGCTGCTCCTGGACGGCGACGTGATCCTGCCGCTGGATGGCAAAATCGAGGACAGCGCGATGGAGGGCCGCGAGCTCGGCGAGACCGGCGGCGAGACTTCCGAGGAACACGAACCCACGGCGCAGCAGTTTCAGGACAGGCTCGAGGAGCGATTCCTCGCACCCACTCCCTACACGGAGTCCAGAACCGACGGCGAGATCAACACTAGTCAGGTAGAGTCCACAATTTGATCTGATAAATATTCACAAGCGTGGAAAAAGATTTTGTTATTGTCGCAGAAAAATTTATCAGGTCCGCAAAACACTTATAAAACGTGACATGCGGGTAGCTTTATGGACTCAACATTTTTAAATTGGCGGTACAATAATAATGCTAATTTTTCTTTTTATGAAATTTATTTTTTTATGTCACTTACGAAATTTACAGTTTTAGTTTTGTTTCAAACTGCTTTAACTTATATACGTTGAAATAATAACACAAATCGGTAAATCAATATTCATTGGCCGAGAATCGTGACTGCTGCGAAGGCTCCTCGTTCGCGAATTGAACAAAAGGGAATAAAATAAAAAACGGTTAAATATAGCTGCGAATCGATTAGAGACCCCCGGAATTTAAAAGCGTCAACGAAGGCTCTCGGGGGCTAGTCTTGGTGTTGTCTTTGGTTTGTTACTCGCGCCGAATATGCCGCCTATATTTAGCGAAACTTGCGTGTAAAAAGGAAGCGCGAACGCGAGCGTGTCACTGTCCGATTGTGTAATACCGCTGCCGTTCGCAGCTCGCAGTACGCTCCAGAAAGCTCAAGCGCTTCTCCATCGGTGGCGCAATCGTATCCAAGAATATATATGGCGCCACCGGAATATTAATCATTCCCCGACCTTGGCGATATTTTTCAATGAGGACGTGAAGTCGTCCTCGCACACAAATCCGCGCCCCGCATCCAGTCCACGAAAGTCTTCGCGATTTATTTCGGTGGATCCGACAATAGATTTGAAATGGATTCCGAACCTGGGTTACTTCGCGATTAGCTACAGTAGCTAGCTACCTCGCAGCACTTTAAAATATTCGCTTTTAATGCACTTTGCGTGTTTCTAAATAGCATTGCATGTCGAATGCTTCGCACGATACTAATCCTTCATTGTTGACCTTAAAATGAATTATTTGTAATACTTTACTTTCTGATAGTTCCTAATTCAGAAATTTTATAAGCTTCTTTTTATTACATTATATATAATATATTAATTTGAAATTTTAGAAATATCTTATATAAGAGTTTACTTGAAGAAGCATGAAAAATAAATATCTGTCAGCATTCAGATTAATTATAATATTGATGTAACTCATTAGAATTAAAAACATTCTAGGTTATTTTACGTAAGTTAGAGAGAAAGAAGTATATTTATAATTAATTTACCCTAATTTAATCATTAAACCTCGATTAAACTTAAACATTAAAAAGAATTACCTATTTCTAATCATTTCTGAGAAAATATAGTTTGTACGCGGTTTTTTTAGAGATCTGGAATATTGCCGGGTGCCGAGAGTCTCGATTTTTTAAATATATAAGGTTTTCACCCCGGATTATTTCAGAGAAGCATTTGTCATTCCAGGTAGACTCGTCGGCGATGGAGGAGCTGCCACTTCGGCGCGGCGCTCGCGGCCTACCTCAACGACTGAAGACACAAGCTGGCAAGCTGCGCTCTCGGCTCCGTGGTTTCCAGCGGCCCACGTTCTCGTTCCCGCAGAAACGGCAAAAACCCGAAAAAGCAACGACGACAACGACGACGACGACGATAACGACGGTGAGATCGGCGGCGGCGAGCAGCGGCAAGTCGGACAAGTCCCGCAAGTCCGAAAAGAAGCGGCCTAGCAGAATCGACCGCATAAGAACGTCCATCTCCGAGAAGACGGGAAAATTCAGTCTGCCCGACAGGTCCAAATTTCACCTGCCGGAGAGACCGAAGTTCAGTTTCCCGGACAAGTCGCGCTTCCATTTGCCGGACAAGTCAAAATTCACCATCAAGAAGCCCAACATCCGCCTGCCCGACGCGCTCGCTCGCGTTAGGCGGCCGCCTTCTATGCGCGAGCAGCAGAAGCAGCATTCGACAGAGTCCACTGCCGGCTCTAAACGCAATATCTTCGATTTCGCCACGTATCCGCGTATTTTCGACAAGAAGTCCAGGAAGCGCGGCGAGTACGCGACGTCCTCGCCCAAGGACTCTAGAGCCCAGTCAGCGGAGAGCGCGACCTTTCCTCGCGCTCGGAAGGCAAAGTCCTTCGGCGCCAGGTGGACGCAACGTTTCGGTGACTCGGCTTACGTTCAGGATCAGGATCGTCCGGAGGAAGCGGCGGGGAGCGGCGGCTCTCCTCCGTGGCATCAGAGTTCCATGGAGGAACCGCCGAGATTGTCCGCTAGAACGGAGGAGGAGATATTGGCGGCGGCTCGCGCGATTCCGTGGGAGGAAACGAGAAAACGAGTGCAATATGACGAGGAGGAGATAGAGTACATGGACTACGAGCAGGAATCGTCAGAGATGTCGGATCGACATCCCGCTCCTCCGAAAAGATCCCACAAGTCGCGAAGGCGGGAAGTGTCGTACGAACCTGAGGAAGTGATAGATCCAAAATTATATGACAATCAAGGAATAAAACACGTTCATCGAGATGAGGAGAACGAGGATGCGGCAATGCAAGATGATTGGCATGCGGATCAGCAGATGATGCAGCAAGAGAAATTCAAACCAATCCCGAGATCGCGATCGTTGGAGGAAGACATGGCACGAATTCTGGAGCAAGAAAGATACGAGGGAGCGTTCATGGCGGTGGATCCGATTCTATTTGAACTGCGCAAGGTGCCGTCCGATGAGGAGGAAGGCGAAGAGGAACCCGAACCTTCCTCGATACAATCCGATCGGGAGCAACAAGCGTCCAGCGGTAGTTCCTGCGATCGAAGGCGTCGCGGAGTGATAGAGGAGATCGACTCGGACGAGTTCTTTCTGCGGGCGAGCGGTATCAGCCAGGATGACATGAATCTAGGCAATTACTTGACCGACGAAATCCGAGATGCTCTCAGGACAGAAGTCGTCAGCGCGTTGCAAGATGACGAGCTTCCACCTACCCCGCCTCAACGTCCTATGAGAACGCGGACTTTGAAAAAGCAGAAGGAAGATTTAGAGGAGTCCAACGAAGCGGTACCACCGGTCAGACCAAAACGGGAACGATCGGCGGCGGCGCGACACAGTCGAGAGGCATCGATCACGGACGAGAGGTTCCGCGAGCGCACCAGGAGTGACTCCAGAAGCGACTCCAGACACCGCGTGGTATATCAGGCGGAGGGCGATCAACCGGAACCATTGCAGGAGCCATTGGACGACATAGTCGTGGTGAAACCGGTGCGCAGAAAATCGAGGTCGTCCTTGCGCAGTCACTCGCAGCCGCCGATGGAGACGTCGATACTCTCCCCTTCGACGCCCGTCACTATTGTACCCGATTCGTCCGCTGCTCCCTCAACCATGCCACCGGTCGTGCCGACACGCAGAAAGCGTTCGCACCGGGAAACGGTGGTGGACCGAAGAAACGGTGACGTGGGCGCACCGATTTGCAATGGTCATCGCGACGAGTGGGAGATCGAGATCGAGTCCAGGAAGCCGGCGATTCCGGCGAGATCGTCGCGATCACGACAATCGCTAGACGAGCGATTCGCCAACGGCGACGTTGTCATGTCTGCGAGTCACGAGGACATCGAGGATTTGGACGCGCGGCTTCGACGGCAAGACGTCGCGCCGGAACCGGTACCGATACCACCGAAACGACGATCCCGCTCGAGAACGACGTCGGTCGCCGCCGACGAGGACAGGACGTCGCACGGCGCGGAATCCCTGCCGGAGGCCGGTTACATCGAGGAGGACATCCCGCAAGAGGACGAGAACAGTTCGGCGCGAGATCTCTCGGGTTACGCGATCGTGGAGAAGCGGGAGAGGCCGCCTAGACCACCGCCGCCCAGAAGAAAACGCGACAAATTCGCCACGACGCCGAGACCGACGCCGCCTAAGCGACCCCAACGAGCGTACAGCACCCTGGGGCCCACTAGAACGAGGGACACCAGCATGACGTCGGAGACGATCATCAGCATGACTCTACTATCAGCTGAATCCGTGCCGTACATCGAAGTCGGCGCGGACGAGATGGAACATCGGGACCTCCGTAATGGCGAATTGGTTAACAAGATACAAGGCCGCCCGCTTCCGGCGCCGCCGCGGCCACCCAGGGCGAGGAAGGAGCACGCGGTCGGACGACCTCGCACCCCGTTCGAATACGCGGAGGCAATGGAGGTGACGGCGGCGACGCAGACCGATCCATTGCCGGATGATATGGTGATCGAGGAGATCACCCAGGCGAAGCTCATAATGACACCCTCCAGATCGGGCTCGCAGATAATGGTATCGATGGATCGTATACCTAGTCCAAGCAGAACGACTACACCTCCCGTACCTCCGCTACCGATGCCACAGTTTCTGCGAAAAGAGGAAGAGGAAGAGGAAGAAGAAGAAAAAGAGGACGAGCGGCTGTCAGGAGAAGAGGACATCCGAATAGCATATGACACGGTGTCGCTAACATCGCCGTCGCCTACAAGAGAGATCGATCTGAAGAACAAGCACAGATCGGCACCGCATCTGGAGGAACGCGTCACGGAAGAATCGCAATCGCGGCCTCAAGTCAGGACGGGTCTATTATCCGACGAGCCGCTGAGAATCGGCAGTCTCGAGGTCGGAGATTTAAAGGTCGATCGACTGAGTGTGTCGCAGATAGAAGCGCACAAAATCGTGGCGTCTGAGGTGGACGCGATGATGATTACGGCGTCGGAATTGAGAGGCGGCGATTCCATGGAGGACAGTTTTTCGCCGGCCATTATCAGAGAACTGATGGCGATCAGAAGCCACTTGGAGACCGTGATGACTACCCAGGCACAAGAGAGACATCGCGAAAGCGAGAAGGAATCCGCGAGCCACGCGACAACCGACATTCCCACCACGGAGGACAGTCAAGTTCAGGAGCGGCAATCTGCTTCGCAAGATGTTTCGCCGGAAGCGGCGAGGCCCAGCGAGACTGTCGGACCAGCGTCGACGGAAGATGAGAAGACCGAGGCTGGCGAGGACCAAAAGGTTGTTAAAACAAACGTAGTAGATGTCAGGGACAAAGAGATATCACACCCCCTCTCAATTGCTCAAACCAAAGAATCCCCTCCCCCACAGACATTTACGATAGATGAATTAGAGTCCAAGGATAAAGAATCTACCACACATTTGCTCACGGTCGCTCAAGATAAGTCCTTACGAATTTTAGATTCCGAACATCCCCTAACTTTGAGTTCGCGAACCACGTCGGGCTCCCACGTGGATGAATCTCGTGCCTCATATCCTCGGTCGGATGCGTCTTCAACCCGATCCTCCGAATCGAGAGAGACGCCGGAACGCGTTGGCGAACCTCCAAGTATCTCTGTCCAGACTACTACTACTATTATTACTACCACTACTTCTACTTCTACTACTACTTCTACTTCTACTGCTACTGCTACTGCTACTGCTACTTCTACTTCTACTACCGAGCTGGGCGCAACGGGTCTTCGTGGCAGCAAGGACGATGTGTCCGATAGTAAAGAACAGACCCCTCGCAAGTCAAGATCTAGATCCTCCTCGCCTGGCAGAGGGTTCGCGCGGCAAACCGCGTCTCCGGTCCGTTCATTGCCACCAGCCATTTCCGTGACTCCTGATACCCCCGATTCGACCGTATCAGGACACGGCGGTACCTCTACGGACGCTAAACCGCAGCGTGCCGTCATTTCCTATTCTTCGGACGCGAAACAGAGTGTCCCTAAAGACAGTCATCAACCACAGCGCGCCGTTATTTCCCACTCTTCTGACACAGGACAATCCCTTACGGAAAAGCAAAGGGGGTCCTCTCAATCGCCGGTATCCTCCTTTCCCTTAAGCTCGACTCACTTCATCGCCTTTCCAGCTTCCGAAATTCCAGCTCAGTTCTTTTCTCTGAGTGAAACGCCAACGAGTCAACGCTCTGATACAGAACCTGGTGTTATAGACACTACGCGGCAGCTTCTCCGAGCACTCCGATTAGTCGGTTTGAAAGCCATGAGGTATTTCATAGGGTATTTAACGTCTGCGTTATGTATGGACGACACGAGAGAGAAGATCAGAGATGTGGAATTAGCAATATGCGCCTTGTTACTTCTGATCGCAGGCTTGTTGATATATTATTTCAGTAGCACACGGACTGTGACACATCATCATCATTGGGATTACTTTAATCCCCCTCAATAGCACTTCTACAATCCGATTTGTCAACATCGTGTATACAAATTGGTAAATAGTTCATTGGTTCGTAGAAATTAAAATTTTATATTTTTAATTGTATAAATTTTTATATAAGAATTTTATCTCGAAGAAAATATACAGACTAGGACACGACAAAGTAAGGAATTTGAATGGAATTATAGTTCTTGTACACGTAGAATAAAACGAAGTGCCAGGTTTGTAAGAAACAAATTGTAATTATATTGCTAATATATGCCAAATATACAATTATAAACTTTAATATTTATAAAGAACACTATTTACAACAATTCTTCATAATTTTATGCGCTATATACATATATATACATACATACATCAGTTAACTTATTTAACTTACATGTATATTTAAGAAAAAATATTATTTAATCGAACCTTTGCTTTCCTGATTTGTTGCCGGGGAACAATTTATATTTTTAATTTCTCCTAAAAGTAAATACAATTGATTTTTTTTTGCGTAGAACATAATATCCACTCAAAGTTTTAGTAGATATTTTCGATACAATCAATAATTAATTCTGTTCTTTTTTTCTTACAACAGTGGCTCTATAATTTTTGAAAAAGCTGAAGCGGGGCTGAAAGCGATAAGTGAAATGGATGGTATGATATATTCCATCCAATTGAAAGAAAAAAGACAGTCTAATAGAGTCAGTGATGTCATATCTAGTCCGATATGATATCATTAATTACCATTTGATAAAGTATCATAAGCAAAAATATTCTCCATAATCCCACTAATCAAACTCAACCAATGGGAGGACATAAAAAAAGAATAAATTAAAGACTAAGATTCAACTAATTAACAAGGTTCGACTGTATAATATTTTTTCTTATACATAGATAAATATTTCTATACCATTATGAATTTTGTTATAATTATAATAATAAATCAGTTATTAGATAGAGAATATACAAATGTTTGATATTCAAATCTGTTGACAAATATAATACGTCATAATGAGATGAAAGAACACAATATTGAAAATAAATTAACACACAGACGTTTTCAATTGAGTCGATATAACAAAGTATCATAATATGGTGCCCCTACCAAGATGACAACCCGGCACCACACTAATTAGCCGGGCAAAAACGCTTACTCGCGAGTGCCTGGCCGCATCGACTAAAATATATAAACAAATTCGGCGACAAGCCTTATTGCCCTCACCGATGATCTCGTCGGACGATCGGATGATCGACGCCACCACTAAGATCACCACCGGGCACATACTTGTGTGAGTCTATCGCGACTCACAGAAAGTAGCACATGGTATTTTGGGAATCTCATACTCCTCTCCTACAATCATCATCACACCACATAACGACTCGACCCCAAAATGTCATGATATATATGGATATTATATTACAATATCGTACATTTCGGAAATTGTGGTCAACGAAAATACCTGCATTTACTGGAAGAGATCCTCTTCATATACTTTAAGTTCCCGCCTGTCTTTATGTGCACTTTTTTGCGAATAGTTAGCTGCTATTGGCGACCACATAGAGCTAGACATAGTATCGCTAACTTGCTCTATTATCGGCTGCCTCCTTGCTAACGATACTTTCAACTGGATGGAGGAAACCATACTGCCATCCATTTCGCTTATGGCCCTTTCAGCTGCATCAGCTTTCTCGAAGGTTATAAAGCCGTGGCTGTAAGAAAGAAAGAACGGAATTAAATTATTAACAATCACATCGAAAATATCTATTAAAACTCTGTGTGAACATGAGCATAGGTAAAACGATTTGTATATACTTACTTCTTCTCTACTTCCATAGAAATATTGACGATATTTCCGAAGCTTTGGAAGTGCTTCTTTAGATAATCCTCCGTTATCTTATAGCCACTTACAAATATTGTATTTCCCGCACGTGGCTTAACTTCCTGCTTGGCCGAGGGAGATTGAGTATCGTTGGTATTTCTCTCCCCAGTGTCCTGAGCGCCGACAAAGCTATTATATAAATCCTTCACTTTTGGCCTCGCTGCCTCCGTTTCTTCCTCCTCCTGCGTCGCTGAGAACGGTTGGTAAGAACTAATCGTCTTTTCTGTACTGTTCAACTTCCTTTCTAGCCCGCGAGATCTCTTGAACGTTTGCTCCGGTCGCTTTGGAGTCTTTGGAGCTGTGATTACGCCAGACTTGATTAATTTTTTGGCCACTTCGCGGGCATCTCTCGCTTCCGTAGGCCGCTTTGGCGCCTGTGGAATGCGTTCTGCTTCTTGTTTAGGAGCCTTTAGATCTTGCAGCGCTTTTTTCTGCAGAGCAAAGGATGATTAACAACATAAAGGTAAGGTAATTGTTCCTGTATATGGCTAAACAGACGTACAGATAAAATAATTGTTCGAGAAAACGATGTAGATTAAATAGAAATTTGAAACTTACGTTACAAATTAATTGAGAAACAAATATCTAATAGATAAATCAAATTTCGTCATACGCGTCTAAAATATAACCTGTACCTTTCTCTTGAGCTTGTTGAACTTGGTCTGGAGCATCAACTCTTCCTCGGTTAGATTCGACGGAAAATGTAGGTACACCATATTTTGCATGTAATATCAACAACGAACGAAGTCCTTCGAGTCCGTCTTGACGCAGAGATCGTAGGCTTATTTTCAGCAATGTTTCCTCACAACTTGCGACGCTCTGACGGAACGTGCCCAAACACCAAGACCAAACTCACCAAACGCGGCAACGTGCGCGTGTGGCACAACACTGACAACTGTCGGTTCCGACATCCCGCGTCTCGCACGACGCACAGTCACGTATATATGCCAGCGCAATAAAAGGTACCGTTCGACGCCCGTCATAGAAAAGGAAGCGCCACATTTTGCTTGAATATTTATAATATTATAGCAATTTAAAATACGCTTATAATATTAAAATGATTTAAAATATGTATTTTTAATGTTATAAGAAATTTCGTTATAATTTTGTTATAATAATTGTATGTACCAAATTAACCAAATCAGTTATTAGATCCCTACGCCGAGGTATGGGTTTGTCGGGACGGTCACGTGGTCGGTCACGTGGTCGGTTACGTGCTGACGCACGTGAGACGTCAGCGTCGTCAGCCCACACGGCGCGTCGTTCACCCAGTTCACTGCGCATGGGCTGGCGTGGATCGGGCTCTTCTATCTATCTGTCAGAGTCTGATGTCATTGGGTCCTTGAATGCGTTCCCGCACTTACCGGATCGCGCTGGATCCGGATGCTTTTCAAGAAGTTGTTCTCTCGATAAAGAGAGAACGGACACGTAGGAGCTCGACGACGTTAGTCGACGGGTGAGTCACCGTTCTGGTTGTTCAACACGTTCCTTTAATACCTTGAACGAGATGTGCCTGTCGATGACGGTGCTTGGTCGACGAGGGACGTCGTTCATCCCGAGGGACGTTGCGCGGCTCAGTGTCACTGTCAAGCAACCACGTTGCTCCAGCCGCAATGAAATGTTGATGAGCGACACGCTGTCACAACGGTGCCCCGCGTCGCTGCGCGTCGACGATGTCTCGCGAGTCGTCCTGGGCTGGCCCCGCGGGAGCTCGAGGACGTTCTCTTCCGCGAGGACTCCGATCTCCCCCGACGCCGTCGTCGACGCTCTGACGAAGCACCAGGCGAAGGAGCTGGTGTCGAAGCTCACCTCGGAGGAGCGTGGCATGTTCTTGACAGCGCTGAAAGAGTACAAATCGCAGGAGGAGAAGGCTGGCTTTGAAGGTAAGCGCATTG